CACTATCCTCGCACGAGGATAGGGCTGTTTCAAGAATTAAATCTATGACAAAGTTAAATAGAAAAGGAGAGAGAGGGCAACCCTGTCGAACACCACTTCCCGTGGTGAACTCGGGTGCTACTGCTATCAGATACCCCATACGTTTACCCTCTGCAATGTTTTTTCAGAATCGTGTAATAATGATGAGCACGCAAGTTGCTCTATCCTTCGGAATAATCTCCATTTCAAGAGGGCTGACATCAACCGGTAGTACTTGTCCACTAGAGTGAGTTTGCAACAGAATGATTGGATTCTGTACCGTATGTTTTCTGATATTTTTTCGTTTATTGCAGGATCACGAGCAATAGCAACAGACATTCGCAACATATACGCCAGTAATCTCTGTTCTGAGCAATATTCCGAAGAGTTGCTAACTATTGAACAGATAGTAGTGACGCTTCTTCATCTAATTCTAGAAGTGGCGAACCGTGGGCGAGTTAGGAAGGCGATGGATACGTGTCCAATGCATCGAAGGTGTTGTAGTGCATTTATTTTAGTTGTAGGTTTCTTATAACACACCTTAGTGCGATGAACAGCAGACGGGGAAACGAACATTGTCGATCTTCTTTATTGCATGTATAATGTTACTAACGAGAAAACAAGCAATGATAATCCTTTATTAAAGGAATAAGTAAATCTCCACNCGGACAAAGTTTAAATATGAAACTGATGCAGTTAAAGAACTTGTGCGCCATGTCCAAACCAAACATTTCCTGGGGGATCTATTCATGATTTATCGGTTCTATGATACTTTTACATAGGATTCTTTCTTTCTACTTACGATAAATCACAAACAATAGCGAACATCACATGAGCTAACCTCAGGCAATAACAATGGACTTACTAAGTGTTTCGGTGGTTTCGACACACGACCGGAGGCAGAAGTGCGCCGAGCCAAAGGGAAGGGAAGTATCTCCTCCTCGGGCACTTCCGGTTCAAAATCTGGGTCATCTTCATCGGAACCTTTCTTTCGACGTTTTTTACTATTCGATTTCCCAGGGGTTCGGTTCCGAAGAGCAGCACGTGCAGCCTGTGCCGCCTTTGTTCGGTCCACGCGGAGGGAAGAATTTGCGATATCATCATGCCGACGCTTGGCTCGAGTGACACGAAAAATAATGCNGCTCGAGTGACACGAAAAATAATGCGACGATTTGTCAGTCGGTTGTAAATCGCACTTGGGCGTGAGCCGCTACTTGAAATGAGAGCCTGGTTTGTCAGAACTTGAATAATCTGCTGCAAATGTTCGTCCGAAACGTCCTGAGTAGTGATATACTGATTTCCTTGTTGAATGATACGTATGGGATTTTTGTTGGAACCAATGGGGGCAGTGGGATCTGCGGCCGGCATGCGCGCTTGTATTTTTTGCACCTCCTCGAGATCGATCGGTTCAATCTCCATGTCAGTTTGTGAATTATCTTGGGGTAATACCACTGGAGGCTGAGTATAAATGGCACTGTCATTAGATGTTTGAATAAATTGAGTGGCAGGAACAACACCCGAGGACGAGACGGCCCCGTAGATAATCTGACCCTGAGCATCTGACGTGACAGCCATTGCGCTCGGGTCCACTATCTGAACATGCCTTTGAGGTAATCCGGCAGGTCCAAAGGCGTAAGTAGTTGAAGCCAAAGGCTGCTGATTCGCATGCATGGATCAGGTCACAACCTAAACATGAAGAGAAATTCTACTTTAAATCAATACCGCATGAGTAATAGCAAAGGTGTTAGTGTTACTCAACCAACAAGGTATCACCACTGACAGTAATCTTCGGTGGTCTACACACACATTTACAGTTGTATGGTGAAACTGAGATCCCTCCTTTCACCCATGGAAATTCAGGCATCTCTGAACCCCAAAGCCAGTTTCTTGTTTATCAATGCGTTTTCCCTGGTTTCTTTAGAAAGGACTTCACAACAATTCATCACCCTTGTACAGCATAGTACAGTGAAGTGAACTTCGCTGATTGCTACCAAACTCATATTGCGTACAAGGTGAGTGAGAATGTGTAACGATAGGATAGGGATTAAATTTACTTTTAGAGACGGGAAAAGAAAGCGAACCTCTACGGTCAACACACAGAGTACACAGACCAATTGTGCATACATACTATTTCAAGCATTTTGGTCTGACAAGTGACAACCAGATCGCCATTGCTGTCGGTTCGTAGCCATGACCTTCAGTGTCTCCAACTATGAGGTTACTGAGTCTTTTTGGACCCCAACCCGGAAGACGAGACATCCACACTACCTAATCCCTCTGTGCATTTCTTTATGTCTCGTCTCCACGTCATCTGCTGGCCTCTACGTGGCTTTCTCCATCCTGCAACAGCCACTACGAATAAAGCGCGTTGCGGTAGGGGACCGTCGGACTCATGCAAAACGTGTCCTAACCAACGGAGCCTATTGAGCTGAATTCGGTGCGATAGCGAGTTCTTGATCGATGCATTTCCAAATACCCGTGTCATATTCTGTCTCTTGTTTATACACCCTTTTTTATTGCGTTTTGCATAAAGCTCTTTTTTCTATTACAGCTCATGTATCAGATTTATTAGTTTAGTGAAGCGTGCAATTCCGACTCCTTTCCGCACTGGTTTGCTTGATTCGTAAAACTTTACAATTTACTCAACTAATATTGGACCGCTACCTTCAACCCGAGAAATTTCATGTCGACTTGAACGAATTCGATCCGATGACACAGACAATCTAGACCTACTCATCAATATTTTGGCATCTTCTGTCTATGAACGCATTTGAAAAAGCTGTCTTCCTGCAGGAATTACTGTAAGTTCGTCCTCAAAACGCTGTTTGCATGGTATATACTTTCTACTTGCAAACAAGATGCTGGGCAGAACGGACCAGTTTGTTCAAAACATCAAAACGCTCTCTAAAGACTGCAACTTTCGGTCCGTCTCAGCCGCAGAATACTGCGACGATGCTATACGCGACGCATTTATAACGGGACTCCAGCCTTATATCATTCGTACGAGACTGCTTGAACAACCATTTCTAACCTTCCAGTCGGCATACGATATGGCCAGGTCTCTTGAAATTGCCCAAAAGCAGTCACAATCATACGAATCAGATTACGTTCCGTGTGCGTTGACTAATCCGCTCCCTCCGACTATCTCCGTCGTTGACCCTGAACCCCTTCTGTCAGCGGCTTCTAAAGAGGTATGTTATTTTTGCGGCTATTCAAAGCATCCACGTATCATGTGCCCGCTAGGGAGGCCACCTGTAAAGCCTACGGAAAAATAAGACACTTTAAGCGTGTGTAAATCTAAACCAGCTATTAAATTGCCTTTAGTCCCTTACTGTTCACCACCTTCACTGCAGCCGCTCCCACTTGTTTTCTCTGTACCACTACCAGCATTTTTGTTAATTGTGTTAATCTTCAGACACTAATAGACACTGGTAGCTCCAACAGTAATTGTAAACACCTACGGTTGGAAAGTCTATCCTTGTGATTAAAATTACCATGGCCTCCACCTCTTTCTCATGTGCTACCACTGGTTATTGGAACGTGACCATCTGATACCATGACGCTTCCTGTGAAAACATACGATTAGCCGTAATGCGCAATTTGTATACATGTGCTACTTGGCCATAACTTTCTTGGTTTGCATGATAGAGTAGAAATACCATTTGGTGGCAAACACGGTCCTTTCTCAGTCTGCAGCCTTTCCGCCGCCAAAATCGAATCACCTCCCTTGTTCGCTAACCTTTCTGCTGACTGTAANCAGCTGAAGATTTACAGCTCATTAAGTCCGAAATGCAACGTCTTTTTGGCATCATTGAACCTTCAAACTCCCCATGGAGGGCTCAAGTCCTTGTTACCAAAAACGCTAACCACAAGAAATGAATAGTTATTGATTATAGCCAGACCAACTGATTCACTTAACTAGATGCTCACCCACTACCCGGCATCGATATAATGTGGAAGACATCTCACACTATGCCGTATACAGTACCCTTGATCTGAAAAGTGCCTATCATCAGATTCCCATCAAAGCCCACACCGCATTCGAAGCATGTGGCAATCTCAGTTCGGGGTTACTAAGGGTGCTGCGAGTTTTCAACGCACCACTGACAAAATTTTAAAAGCAGGTCTGAAGAATACGTTCGCATTCATAGACCGTGTCCCCGTATGTGGTTCAACCCCGGATAACCACGATCAAAATCTCGAGCGCTTCTTGAAAGCCGTCGCTAAATATGGCACCACCCTGAATGAATCAAAAACTGCAACCGCTCGGAAAGAAATCCAGCTCCTTGGTTATCACACATCACAAGGTCTTACCAAACCCAACCAAGATTGAATGAAACCCCTGCGTGAAAGTCCCCCATTGCGGACAGCAAGTTCCTGCGTCGTGTGATTGGTCTCTTTGCTTACCACTCGCAGTGGATACCGTCATTTTCGGACAAAATCAATCCACTAGTTCAGAACAAAACATTCCCTTTACCACCATCCGTCCGAAGCGCATCTGAGGGACTTAAACAATACATGGAAAATATCATACTCGTGACCGTAGACCATGAGATACCTTTGGTCGTAGGCAGCTTTGCTGTCATCGGGTCAATACCACGCCTAACCTAGCGGGACCCTGTGCGGTTCGCCATTCCGGGGTTTAGGTCACCGGTCTCCATCACTGAACAGCAGGTCCTTGTGACTATGGGGTTCGCCCCGTCTGCTGTTCATCACACGAAAGTGTGCAGCTGTAGCAGCATCACTCGCTCAAAATAACCGCCTGGTAGTCTTCTTTTCGCGCACTCTCACTCAAAGCGAACGACACAACTCCGTTGTCGAAAAGGAAGCCTGCGCCATAGTAGAAGCGATTTGCAAGTGGCGACACTATCTTCTGGGCAGGCACTAAACTCATTACGGATCAATGTTCAGTAGCCTATCTTCAATAACAACTACGTTAGTAAAATAAAAAACGACAAAATCCAGAGATGGAAACTTGAGCTGTCGGATTACTACTATGACATTGTACAACTATCCGGTAAAGACAACTCCGTGGCGGACGCACTCTCCCGTAGAGTATGTGCTTCCAACTTCGACTGCCAAAAACTGAAGACTTACACGACTCGCTGTGCAGCCCTGGAATTACGCTTATGATTCACTTTGTGCACTCCAAAAATTTACCGTACTCGGTTAAGGAAGTTAAAACTGACTTCTCGATGCAGTATATGCGCCGAATTGAAACCGCGCTTTCATAAGTCGCTCACGGGGCACCCAATTAAGGATACGCAACCATTTGAAAAACCCAGTATCGACTTCAAAGGGCCATTGCCCTCAATGTCTAGCAATCGATACATTCTGACGCTCATAGACGAATACTCCCGGTTCCCATTCGCATTCGCCTGTGCAGAGATGCAATCGTCCACGGTCATTAACTGCCTCTGCCAACTATTTTCGACCTTCGGGATGCCAGCCTATAGTCACTCGGACCGGAGTCCAGCGTTCTTATCGTCTAGACTGTCAACTTTCTTATGAGATAAAGGAGTGACTATCAGTCATACAACCGTCTACAATCCGCAAGCTGTTGGTCAGGTTAAGCAACCGAACGGTAATCTTTGAAAGGCTATTTCCCTGGCACTTAATGGGAATCTATCCTACCAGACGCATTGCGATCAGCGAACAGTGAAGTTTGCTTCACTGTATTACGCTGTATAATGATGATACCAGACGCACTGCACTCGATCCGTTCTCTCTTGTGCACCACCACAAACGCCACTCTACATGAACGACATTTTTCTTTCGCCCGATGCTCCACTAGCGACACGTCTCTTCCAACCCGGTTGACTACCTCTAGCCCCGTACTGTTCAAACGCAGGGATCGGTCCTCAAAACCGAATCCCCTCGCGAAAGAAACTGAGCTTATCAACTGCAATCCGCATTACGCCCTGGTGAACTTTCCTAATGGAAGAGCAGAGAATGTTTCCATCTACTGTTCGTTGGCGGAGTAGAGCACAATGACTGTCTAGGTGAGCTTGTGATGCGCTCAGTTTTCTAACTTGCGCGTTAAGACCAAGTACAACTATGTCAGCACTTCGGCTCAACCGAGAGTTCGGTCAGTTTACTCTAGAAATCGTCCATTTGTGTATCAGAACTGCAGTTGGCCGGTGCATATACCGATACGAGGATCAACTCCTTTTTGGTATTGCTTCCTTTTTGAATGCTGATAGATCCCTGGGGACGCATCGTAAATAAACGACTGTGGCGCTCCAAAGGCTTATAATAGTAGGATCCTGAAATAGTCTCCCATACGCACGAAATATCGATTCTTAAGGATTCCATTGCACACCCCAGACAAGCTTGTGGACACACCTGCATGAGAGTCCTCACGTTGAAGGCTTTAAGATTTACAGATTGACAAGGTATCAGAATCCGCAATTGATTTCGCGGTACATTACTAACAGTTCTATTTGGCGACGACCTTTGGTGAGTGACAACCAAGTTGCTTGAGGAACTGTTACGGATGGAAAAAGGGGCAAAGGAATAGGGTTGGGTATAGAACGCAGAGTTACAACAAGATTGGAATATCTGAGCGATAGCCCACTTATCACTAACCACCTCGCCCGATGCAATGGGGGTGTCCAGCCACCAAGCAGAACGATTAGGGCTCTCGTTCGAAGCCTTTAGTTCTAACAAGA